TCTCTCTCTCTCTCTCTCTCTCTCTCTCTCTCTCTCTCTCTCTCTCTCTCTCTCTCTCTCTCTTTTTTACCGTCTCCCTCAAAACCGTCCGTTTTCCGGATGAAACCCGCGTGCTCGTGGTCCACAACACGCTCCTGACACGCGTCTTGCGCACAATTAAAACAAAGTGACTAGAAAAACCCACCGACCGTCCGTGTCCGACGACCCGTGTGTATCCGAGCCGTGAATGCACGCGAAGCGAGCGGGGAGGAGTGAGAGAGCCTAAGTGGCTCTGTGACTCTGCAGGAATTCGATTTTTGTGGCCCGAAAATGTACGTCGAGCCACGCGGATCCGATACCCGGTCGGTCCGCTTTATCGCGCCGATTATCGTGCCGATTGCCGAGCGCCGTATACGTTATCGCGCTGCCGTCTGACGATCCGACACAATCGTTGCGATAGGAGGACCGATAGAAATCAGATATACACACATAGGTCGCAAACGTATATCGTTCATCTTGTACAGGTGCGCCTAAAAGACACATATGTCGCTCGATAGTTAAATACCGATTATCGTGGCGTGAAGGGTGCTAATAGTGCTCGTAATATGATTTTAAGCCCGAAATGCTAATTGGTAATTTCGAAGCAGCTTCGAGCACTTTTCATTTTTCTTCTATCGCATCGACCGTTAAAAATCAGCGTTACATCGCGTCCTATTCATTTCTGCAAGCGGACTGCGTAATTTCATACGGAGGACATGAGATAAAAAGTGAGAGGAAAGTCTCACTTGTTCGTAAAAAATTAGTAATTCCACGCGAGATTCTCTCCCGAGCGGAGTCTCTACGTTCTTAGCCTGGAGGAAAGGGCGCTCCGCGAGATAAGAATTTATCAAGGCCGTTGGAATTAATCTGGCATTAATTCTAATCGCCCGGGCGATTTATTAGGAGACGGTAAATCTGCCAGGAACTTCTAAAGAAGTAGGAAAGTTCCCTTGCGCCGGGCGCAGTCGTAAGGAACTTCGGGCGCCGTGGAAGAGGTGGGTGAGCGATCCGCGATTTTGGCTTCTTTAATTAACTGCTCTCTCGAATCACGAAATCCTCCGAACAATTTATGTCCGTCCATCCCTCGACCCCGCGATAAATACGCTCAGTGCCGTTCATGCGGAAAAATCCGTCGCCGAGCCGCCAATATTTCGCATTGCAGAAATACATTTTACGTCTCTCGGCGAAACCTTCCATAAATATTTTTAATTGAATATCATTAATGAGTTTCTGAAACGAGTGACGCGCACTCTCACATACTTGTCATTTTTCGGTCATTGCCGTTAACCGTTTCATCGAACATATTAACTCGTTTGCTCTTCTGCGAACAGATAAGGATCGTAACGACTCTGGCAGTACCCTTGAAGGTTAATGGACACATTAGCAAAAATACGCAAACGAAGGAGAACGTGGTACAATTAAGAAGCTCGTTAATTACACGGTCTCGTTCGCTCCGTAATACACACTGCCTGAATGAGTTTTTCTGCCCTCGCATGTCACTATATCTATTACCGATTGCTATGCATTACGTCGTCTGGAGCGGAGCTGTCTGACTAGACTGCTCCACTTTGCTCTGCATCTCTTTCTTCCGGGCGTTTCTTTCTTACTTGATCGCTCGCTCGAAGGAGAATCAATACTTTGGTATAAGCTAGATGATGGACTACGATCGAAGAGAGATCGTACTCTCCGAGAAAGGAAACAGCGAAATACTTTTCTCAGCTAAAATGTTCGCTCGCTGACTTACAATGTTTATTTTTTTCAGTACATCGCGTTCGCGAGTCTCGCACAATATGATCATCGAGCATTGCTCGAGCCCGGATGACGTGAGAAAACACTAATCACGGCGAATGGAACAAAATCGATTCTCTGGTAAGTCAAACTTGGAAAATCTTAAAAAAAATCCAGAATTAGATTTTTATATGAAAATTGTAGAATAACATGTGGAATTTTATAATAATTGTGTTAATTCATTTAAATTATAAATTAGTGAAATAAAATGTAAGATTTCGGGATCATGAATTTTCAAACAACCTTTCGATATTTTTCTTATTTTAAAATAAATGTTTTCAAATTTTGAAAAATAGAAAATTTATATAGAAATTGAAAATTTTAACATGTCTCTATGTATTTATAATGCTAGAATAAAAAGTTCTTATTCTTCGTATATTCTAGGTATATGATAACAGTAGTTAGTTTGTATAATTTTGTTATTATCGAAAAACACTGAGTGATTAACTGAGTGGTTATTATCGCGTACTTCTGTAATACTTCATGTAAATATATGACGCACACGTTTGTAATCCAAACGTTCAAAACAAAACTATCAATATCTACTTCTGTGCTATCGAATACAAATTTGTAATAATCAAATTGATTACTTTCCTTATCATTTATTCAACAAATATTTAGCATATTGCGATCGCAAAGCGAACAAGAAAGTAGATTCTATTATGTTTTTCTGTATATTGTGCTTTTAACGCCAGATATGTTACAAATTTAAGAAGTTACATAACATCGTTGAACAATTCTGCATATCTACAACATCTACGAAAGTAAAACGGAATATATTAAGGTCTACTGTAATACGCATCATCTCTAAGTTACGGCAATCTTCGAACAATCTGACAACACGATCCATTATTCACGAGTTTTCTAGTAAAATTTCACCGAGAGCGCATCCGTGCTTGCAGAGCGGCTGGCAGATCGCAAAATCTGAAGAAAAAGTTATTATCGGTGCGAATTTGACTTTCGTGAGGAGTAGGGCCAGTGTCGTTGAAAAAATAAAAAAAGGAAAAAAAGAGAACGACGTCCCGCATTATCTGAAAGGAGACCCTGGAGAACTGCCGCTCGAGTCTCTCTTTTTGGGGTGTGCTTTTTTCCCTCTTTTCTCCACCCTCTCTCTATTTTCGCCGCTTCCTACCGCCATCCGTACTCACACGAATGCACCCTCGTGTTCACTTACTTTTCCAAACATAGGTCCTTTATCCGAGGGTCCCTTATCGCCGGTTACGCTGGTCAATGAAGGAGGAATTGTGATTTTGCATATGAAGGAGGTCATGTGGAAAATGTACAGCCATATGTAGTCGACGTATATAATATATTAATCCATCACTTTGGTATATCGTGCTAATTTTGCCAAAATATTAATTAATTCCAAGTTTAACATCAATTAATCAATTCGGAGTTTAAAAATCTCGTGTAGAATTTTGTATCAAAGACTTTACTCGCTTTTATGAGACCATTTTAACTGCAAAATTAATCCCTCGGAAAAAACTAATTTCTGAAATTATTTCTATTTGTTTTCTAGTGGACAGCTATTTCGTAAAGTTCATGGATGTCTACAGTTTCCGTCCAAAGTATTGACATTCCCGAAAGACATTTCCGCAAGGAGAAAGGGTAGGGAGAAACAAAAGAGGTTTCCTTCTTTCCGGCTGTACTCGCCGCACGTATTTTCAGGGGAGAATAATAAATCGGCGCCGAGTATCCCAGGCACCGATATCGCGGCCGTTTCGAAAACTCACGTAGCTACGTAATTTATGACTATTTTCCGACATTCTCCCCGCGGTCCGCGATTCCGAATAAAAATCAGGGCAGAAAAATATCTGCGTAAAGCATCGATCGGTCGTACATTGGAACGACACTGGATAGGGAACCGCTAGGAGAAATCCCGGAAAACCAAAGCTTTTATAGGCCAACCGAGAATATTCTTGATAAAAGAGGATATTAATCTTGCACCGCACTGTCTTGTTTTACTTTTTATTTAATAATAACTACATTATTATCATATTATATATTTTTTTATATATATCTATTTTAATTTTAATCCCAAATATGAATTTTTGCAACACTTTTTTTGTTCAGAAATACAATACAAAATTGAGAAATTATTCTTAAAAAAGACATTAATATTTTTGGACATATTTTTGCATTTTGAACAAATACTTTACGTGAGTAATCCATATATTTCTTTGTGAGCTGTGATATTCGTGCATAACGATATTATGTTTCGCTTAATTCGTGTGTATACATATTCATCATTTATATGCAAAGAATAAAAATTAATTAAGCTATATGTGATCCATTCGGTTATTAGAAATATATGAGTATCTGTTGAAAGCAATTAACTTCTTAACTTCATAATAGTTATATTTTTATCGAAATATTATCTACGAATTACGTATTATGACACTTGCTTTGGGAAAAATGTTATCATTAATTTCAAAACTTTTTTTCCAACTAAATCATTATCTACATAAATGTTTTTTTATCAGTAATTTATGTATTATCGAATACCCTGTGTTTTTCAGATAAGGATAAAGCATATTTTAAGGTTCTGCTGACAACAAAACAATTTTTTTATAGAAAATTTCGAGCTGATATATATATTAAAAAAATTACTGGATAAACTTTCTATTATAAATTTGTATGTTAAAATACGCTCTGTAATACGATCCATCGTTTATTTCTGCATTTGTCGCTGTTATAAAAGTAATACATAATATGCGGCAATTACTGTCTGTGCCATGTAATGAGATTCTTAATTATTTCTCGAAAAATTGAATACGATGAATAATATCTTTATTTTTATTTCTTTTTGTTTTATCCTTTGATTCCTTAGTAAATGAGTTATAATAGACATAATTATATGAAAATACTGTCATCGAGCAATTTTCTCTTTAATGCTACTGTACAATTATCAAATTTACTCCTTTGTTCGACATATTATCGAAAACGAGACGTAAGTCGACAATATGCGAGGGGTGAGAAAAGAAAGAGAGAGAAAGAGATAGAACGGCGATGTCAGAGAGAGAGACCAGTGAGATTGGTAACGAAGAGACACGCGAATGGACACGGTAGCTCCGTATGGCGCACGATGGAACAGAGAGACCGGTTGTTAAAGGGAAGAGGCGAGGTGGAAGCACGAGAAAGAGATAGATCCAGGCAGTGAGAGAGCGACGGACGGTGGCAGGAGGTAGAAAAAGAGGAACGCGCGCGGAACTCTGGAAGGAGCGTGCGAGTCGACGAGTGCGAGCGAGCGAGAGAGAAGGAGAGAGCAAGACGGAGAAACAAGAGCGGTAAAAATGAATCGATAGGCGGAGTTTTTCATGACGCGCCAGTAGAAGCGCTCCAGGTGGGGGAGCGCAATAGGCGGAGTCAAGCTGATTTAGGGCCGCCATTTTGTGACAATGGACGAGAGGGGGTATGCCTATCTGATTGGCTGATCTACGGACTTCTCTCGTCCTGGACAAGCTTCTACAGATTGTTCGGTTGTACACACCGCCGGGTACTCCAGCAGAGCCACCCGGCAACCCGGCAACGCCGCCACCCTACATCGCGGCTTCTCCCACCCTGTCACAGCCGACGACGACGACGACGGCGACGGCGACGGCGACGACGACGACGTCGTCGTCGTCGTCGTTGCTTTCTCCCTCCTGCTGTATCATCGCACGCATACACGCACCTACGTATGTGTGACACACACGAATATATAACGAAAGAAACGCAAAGCCAGATCATGTAGTAGAAGAATCCTCGCGAAAAATTGCAAGCCTTTCGTACACGACTTGCTCGCTTTTATCTGCCATCAGAAAATGTTGATTACGATATTTCGCTTTCGCTTAATCGAACGCACTTTTCTCTCTCTCTCTCTCTTTCTCCTTCGAGCGGATGTTGTCGAGATGAAAGGTATCGCGCGATCTCCTTTAAAATTTTTTATTTTGCAAAATAGAGAAAGAGAATGCGCAAGAACGTTTTCGAGTGTCGATTATGCAACCTCCTCGATTGGTAGATCGATTAGATTTGCTGGTTAACACAACAATCGCTGGGATCTGGTGTGGTTCTTGCTTTACAATTGTATGTTTTGAAAAGTTCCCGAATGTATTGCCAAGAGCGATTTCTCGATCGACATTTTATAACTTGATCGGAATACTACTTTCACTCTGCATTTAGTGCTAAATTTGCTTGATTCTAAATCTATCGGATTTTGTCCTGGTCAAAACTTTTTACTGATTATTGCTAATAGAACTCATTCACTATCTTATAGAAGAGAGATTAATTTAATGAAAAAATTAATATTTATTGATTGTATGTATCGATAAACTTAAATTCATTTAATCTAATTAGAATGCAATGTGTGAGTATCTAAAATCTAGTCTTTAATCCTTTAACTGATGCAAATGTGCCGAATATATTTCTTTATAATTTAAATTAATATGTTATCAATACCGCATTTAGACGATAGTTTCAAAATTTTAATTTTAATGCTAAATTGTCATTTTCAAGACAGTATTTTTAATTTTTTTCAACTTGAATATTTTATGTAAGTCATTAAGATATCTAAAATTGAATTTATCAGTTAAAAGGTTAACAATAGTGATCAAGGAGGTGTTTGAGTTCTCGAGCGTGTATCATGAATTGCGATCAATATGTATCTGTAACGTGCTATCTGAGAAGAACCTAAAGCTGCACAAAACATACACTTAAAATTGCATATGTGATGTAAACAAGATGATTGGCGGTATCCGGCTACAATTAGCGTAGAAGCGGTGCGAGAACAGCGCCAGACAGGGGAGTCCTCGCCGCATGATATCGGATCGCGCGACCTGGGGCAACCTGTAACACAGTTGATCCTCATCATCGTCGTCGTCGTCCTCGTCGTCGTTGCATCTCGCTCGGATTTCAGACTTCGGATTTCGGAGGGCGTGTGTATCTTAATCGCGGTATCTCATCTAGATAGGCCGCCGGCATCAAGATCGGCGGCTCGCTCGCACGCGCGAGGCTGTACGATGTCATATACGCAGTGTACACATGTAAACGAGAGATATGTGTGTATATGCGAGCGTGTACATATCTAGTGAGTAATCTTCGCG